ACGGTCAGAGCACGGGGCGGGGCGGGAGGCTGCGGACAGAGCAGTGGGGGAGGGGTGCAGGAGGAGCCCGGGACCCCGACCATGGGCGCCCTGCCGGATACCGACCCCAGGTGCGGGGGCGGGCCTGCGACCTCGCCCCCGCAACCCCGGACCACATAACCCACTCCCGGGAAGGGGGACTCTGCCACCACCCCCCCGCAGGCCCCCGCCCAGGCCCCACATACTCAGCTGACTCCCTTATACCTTAACCCTACCCCTCGGAGCCCCCATCAGGGACCCCTAACGTCCTGCGCCCTACCTCCACGACACCTCCGCTCCCCCACTCCATGTCCCGCGCAGGGACCCCACCGTCAAAGGCGCAGCCCGGGGGGACCGCAGGCGGCATGGTCCGGGCTCCTGAGAAGGCCGGGGCCATTTGGGTTCGGAGGAGAAGGGGAGCCCCCTATGCCTGACCCCGGCGCTCCCTTGGGGTCCCGCGCCTGCAGCCCTGCTGGCAGCCCCTACCTGCTCAGAGGGCGCCGAGGTCGCGAGCACGCCGTGCTCAGCCAGCCCCTTCCGGTGACCGCAGCCCCTCGCAGGCCCCTAGGGTCAAGCGACGCGCCTAGGCTGGCCCGCCCGGACCCTGCCCGTGGCTGTCATTCAGACGGCCTGCCGAGGCGCTGGAGCTGGCCGTGAGCCGTGGCCACTTCTCTGGGGGGTTACTTAGTGGGACCCTCTACTCTGAACACAAACAACAGAACATACCACTGTCAGAGTCTGAGAGGAACCCAGATCTGCCCTATAGGGAAGTTGCTTTCCAGCACTAGTCTTGATTGAAAACCAACTCCATAACCCCTCAGGAAGGCTGCTTATGCCACCATTCTTTCCAAAGTAATATGTTTAATGTAATCCTAACAGGACATTTCTCAGACTTAACAGGATTCTAAACTCACCTGGAAGAATAAATAGCCCAAAACTGCTATCATTTCCCCCCTTGGGAACAACAACAAAAAAATAAATGAGGAAACCTAGAAACAGATTCTAGACATGATAAGAACATAATAGCAAATATCAAACATCTTCCAAGAAGAAAAGGAATATTCCGTGAGTAGAGGTCAGTATTCGAAAAAACTACTGGAAGTATGTCAATGCTCTACTAACCAAAGACATGCAAATTAAAACTACTAGATGCTGGGTTTTGTGTTTTCTTTTGGGGGTCGGGGGCTTGTTTTTTTTTACCAAATTAGACATCAGTTTCAAATGATTACCTTCACACAGGCAGGGATCTGGTGGGTAATCACTCTCCTATACTGTTGGAATTATGTAAATTGCCTCAAAAGTCCTGAACATGAGTTTGGCAGTATGACCCAAAAATAAAAATCTTTTAAAATCATTGTACCTCCTTGGACCAGTAATTCATCTTCTGGGATTCTGTCCTAAAGAAATTAACCCCATTTGCCCACCTTGCTCTTGATGATCTGTCTTTCTAACCAGACTGTAAACTTGGAAACCCAGTACCAACACCTAAAACTTAATAAGCACTCAAGAGTCACTTGTTTCATTTGCATTTGGAAATTAAGCACAGTCATATTTTTTCAAATGTCATTTATAATGAAAAAATCACGCACAAAATAAATGACTGACAATAGGGAATTCATTAAATAGTCCACAGGATGGAATGTTTAGGAACCATTACAAATAGTGCTTATAAGGACATTTTATGATCTAGAAATGTGCAAATCATACTATGAAAAAAAAGGCAAATTACAAAATTGCACATACTGTCGTATACAAATTATTGATCCATGAGAAGCAAATGAAGAAAATATACCAAAATATTTGCAGATGTTCTGTCTAGGGACTGGGATTCTTTTTAATATGTATGTTCACATGCATATTTTAGTGTGTTTTATAACAAAAGCAACATGTCTAACTAAGAATTCTAGCTATACTGAAATACATCTTTTAAAAGTTACTAATTTTTCTTCCTCTGGGCCCCTACTTGTCCTCTGAAGTAACATTAACAGTTTGGCATCTATCCTCATTTTCTTCTCTCACATCAACATGTGTCTGTTCACATGTTACAAAAAAGAGCTTACTTTTTTGAAACTGTAAAATAATATACTACATAAACTGTAAGTCACTCCAGAACCTGCACTACAGTTGCTCTTTGCCCCCTAAGAATCTATCCCAGACATCTTTCTAGTTCATGTCCATAATTCATTTTTTAATAGCAGACAAAGATTCCAAACTATAGGAGTTCCATAAACATGCCCCTTAATCAATGTTATTCAAGTTATTTACAGTTAGGTGCTATGTAAAAAAGGTATTTTTAGGTCCTTGGATATATTTTACATACTCCTGACTTTATTTGTATAGAACAGTTTACTGGAAGTAGAATCTGTGGGTTAAATGATGTGTGGGTATTTTTTTATTTAAACAGGTCTTACCAGGTTTACTTTCCCAAAATGGTATAGGGATTCTTATCCTGCAAGGGGAGGTTTTATTTTTCTTCCTTCCTTAACTTCCCAGGCATTCCAAGATTTCCATACTTCCTACATATTCCTTTTGTAATCAGAAAGAAAAGAAGTCCAAGAGAAAAAAAAATGTCTAATCAAGTTGAGCTAAACCCCCAGCATTTCTGTCATGGTTACTAGGCAGACTTGTGTCATATAGGGCCCACCCCAAGTCCCTTTCCTGCCAAGCACCTTATAAAATCCAAGCATGGTTTCTCCCCTGCTTCTGGTAAAATATTACATAGCACTGAAACTTGAAAATGTGGGGAAATTTTTTTGATCTAATAGTAATTGAAAATAGCAGATTTCAACATCTTGTTCTGACAGCAATCCTGTAAAATTATATTTGGGTAGAAGACAATAGGAAAATATAAAAACCACACGGCGGTGGACATAGGAGAACCATCAAGCCTCTCTGATGATCTTTCTTCATCTGTCATTTGGGAATACAAATGACACCTGCCTGTGGGGCTCTTGGAAGGGTTGATTGAGGCAAGGCAGGTGGAACACAGAATCAGGCTCCGGCAAGTCCTGGGTAAAGCAGTTATGATTGTTACATCATGCAGGGTGGGTCAAGTGGACAGTAGAGTTGATTTATTACTTTACCATCATCTTTTCTCAATAAAAAATAGAAAGAAAGCAAATAATATAAAATATACCAAATGGGTTAAGTAGCAGCTTAACATGACAGCAGATTTAACAAATAAAAGGAAAAAATACAGGATTCCCAATTAAATTCAAATCTCAGATAAACAATCTATAATGTTTTAGTGCAAGTATGTCCCATACAATATCACGGCTTACCTCCTCCATCCCAAGCTCAAGCCACATTGGAAAATTTTTGGTTCTATGTGTCGTGATTTCTCCTCCTACCTGTGGGCATCAGAACCCAGGGCTTCTTCTGCCTGGACCACCTTTCCTCCCTCTCTCCACCTTTGCCTGGTAAACTCCTACTCAGCCCAAATGTCATGTCCTTTAGGAGGTCTCCCCAATCCCAGGCTGCTCTCCTTGATACCATTCTGATGCTTGTGGGCAGTTGCCACGAGGGAACAAGACTTGTCTTGCTCATCCTTGTAGACCCAATAGTTGGCTAATGCCTGCCACAAAACAGGTGCTCAATTGAAAATGGGGTGAATGAGTGAATGAGTGAATTTCCTGTCAACTGCCCCTTCCCTCCTGCCACAACGCACGTAGGATTCATTCATTCCTTACTGTAGAGAATGCAGTGTGGGTGGTGCAGACAGGAGACAGGCACTGCAGAAGCTTGGCATTCAGGTCACCCAACCGGGAAGCAGAGTCTCTCTTGCAAGAGCAACAGCCCCACCCAAATTCTGGTCGCTAATACTGGCCTCTAACCTTGAGTTCTCACTCTACATGTGTGCAAAGCACTTAACATACAAGGGCTTGCTGTTCGTCATCACTGCCTATGAGGGATATGCTGCTATTACCCCATTTTTTAGATGAAAAAACTGAGGCTCAAAGAGGTTAAGGGCACCTGCCCAAGGTCACACAGCAAGTTTCAAACCAGCCCTCCATCCCCCGGGCCCCCATGCCCTCTGTCTGGCAAGAGCTTGCTTAGTACAGCCTCTGAAAACAGCACACCACATGAAGAAAGTCCCCTATGCGTATTCCTTAGAATAAAGGACATGCCTTGTGACGGGATTCCCCACCACCACCACCTTTCTCCCCTCACTGTGCCATCCTTCACCTGGCAGAGCCAGGCACCCTGAGCCCAAGAGAGACCAAACTTTCCACTGTCATTCAACCAACAGGCTGGTGGATAGCACAGTGACAGTCCCCACCCTGGGATGGTGACCTTCAAGTGGGGAGATGAGAGAATACTCACAGGGGAGCTGGACTGGGCAAGGAGAGGTGTGGGCTGTTTTGCAAGGTCCTAACAGGGGAGCTGATTGCCCTGGTTTGCAGGGCCGATGAAGAGGCTCTGCCCAAGCCGTGCCCTCTGCCTGGCAAGCCATTCTTCAGCATCAGCACTAATGTTGCCCCTGGCATGGTTTTCTCTGACTGCCCTTTCTAAAACAGTCACCCTTCACTCTCTATCCTCCCTCCCAGCCTTTATGCCGTCTGTGAAGACGTACTTACTGACCAGTGCACATGCTTCTTGGCTCATGTCTCTCCCACTCGCTAAAAC